GTGGTATTCTGGAGACCAGATGACAGTGAGGGGCTCCGTGGTCGCTGCTCTGGGGGGAGGTTGTGCCCTGAGGAATCTGGGAAAGGAGACTGCTCCGACCTTCCAAAGGTTTGTTATCTCAGGTGCAAAAAGACAACAGGTGGCTCAGTTCCGGTCAAGGTTGACCTTTGGCAAGGAAGGTGCCGGCCTCGGACAGGACCACCTGCCATGATGCGCTTTTAGTTAAGGCTCCATTTCAGCCCGGCCTCGGTGGGGACGTCAGCTCTGAGTTTGTAAGGCCGCCGCACAGGCCTCCCCTGAGCTTGTCAGGCTTCGTGTGTGGCCCCTTCTTCATCCACAAAACTTGACTGAGTTGGAAATGACGTGGAAGGAAATGCCACATGGGTAAGAGTGGCTCCCAGCTCTGCGTTGCCGTGGAAGCATGTGTTTGCTTTCCCACCCTCAGATGGAGGGAATCGATAGGAATCAACTCCTCAGGGGACAGCGATGCCCCGCCGCCCCGCCGTGGCAGGCGGCTCTGGGCTTCCTCATGTCTAACCCTCTGTCTCCCTCCGCTCGGTCTCCGGGCAGAGCCCAGCCCAGGCCCCGCTCCGCACACTGAGCGACCAGCTTCCCTCTCCTGCAGCCCTGCCTGAGACGGCCTGACAATGAACATGTAGGCCAGTCTTCTGACCCAGCAGTGGCACTGCTGGGACTTTAACCTACAGCTATGCCTTCGTGAAGGGTCGCAGACAAGGTTATCTGTGGAGACACTGCTCAGCAAGACTGGAACCAGCCCAGCTGTCTGCAATACGGGGCTGTTAAGGCGGCTGTAAACGGAAGGCAGAGGGCCGCCTCCCCAGGGCCTGGGAGAGCGCGGGGCGCGGCAGCGGCAGGTGCAGAGCCCGCAGGACCTGCAGGTGCGGGTTAGCGAGCGGGAGGAGACCGGCGTGTTGGTGCTGGCTTCTGTTTGCACGGACACGCAGGAAGCCAACACACAGGGCTGTCCACGTGGGCGTGGCTGGGAGGTGTGGGCTGGAGGAAGTCTTCTGGGGTGGGCTTTTTAATCTGCCTTGATTTGAAAATGAAACCGCTGCACTAACTGTTTACAAAACAACGAGAAGTTGCTGTGGGGAGAAAATGTCAGAGAAGACATCTTCTGTCTTCTCCGCCTCACCCCGTAACATAGAAACAGAATTTCCGGAGGATGAGGCCCAGAAATCAGGATTTTAAAAAGATTCCCAGGTGATTCTAATGTGCAGCCAAGGTTGAGAACGACTGGTCTAGATTGAAAGGGATTCGGACTCAGAAACAAAAGTCAGTTAGTTTAATCAATGCAATACATCACACCTGAGGTGGCAGGGAAGCGTGTAATTTCTCAGCCCGAATTTAAGGACTGAATTAATGGTTATTACTCAAATCCTTCTGGGAGAGAATCTGTGTCAAAAGGAGAGAGAAAGCCCGGATGCCTCTGTTGAGGGTGTGACAGCCACGCATGCAGAGCGCCGTGACTGAACCCCGGGGCTGGCACTGTTTGCTGTCTGTGCCTCGACGGTCCGAAATGCTGAGCTACTCGTGGCAACATTCTGAGCAAACTAAACCTTCAACAAAGGTGAAATGCTGTGTGATGCCGCATTCTATCTATTTAATAGCATTCAATTTTGAAGTTAAAAAACACCTTAGTCAACAATTTTAGGAGAAAACTTTGAATTATTTTACGTTATTATTTTTTACGATAGTTCAACAAAAAAAGAGTCAGAATTCAAGTTCGCCAAAGAAAAGTAACCAACGTTATCCAACTCCGGGTTAGCCTTCATGCAGTCAATAAAACATCCTTGCGAAATACACTGGGCTTCCTAGTACCCGGATAGATAAGGGTGTGAATATTCAACTAGTATTTGAGGTTTCTCTGATTTTATTTTGAAGTCAATGAGCAATGTAAATATTTTCCAAGTAAATGTTGCTATTGACTCACTACTTAACTTTGTGTCAAAAAATGTTTACTTCCACCATTTTTTTTTGTTCCGAGTTGACGTTCTTTCTGCTGATTAAATATCCCGAGCAGGGAGCATGATGGGTAGACCACCTGGCTTCTCGGCCACCCTATGTCCTATTTCGTAAGACCGGCTGGGGCCCTTCGCCTGGGACCTTGGATTTCCCTATCGTAAAAAGTGTTAGGTTAGGTCTTTAAAGCTTTTCAGCTTTAAAATCGATTATGCACGCGAATCTGTAAGTCACCTGTTCAAAATAACATAGTTATTATGGTTCCGTATCAAGAACTAGCTGACTTTTCAGCTCCACAGCCAAGTCCCTTTGTAATCATTTGCTGTTGAGTTGACTTCAATAGACTTCACCCCTAGCTGGTTGAGCCCCACAGGTCAGGCTGGCCGCCATCCCTCTGCTGGTATTTCCTGTTCTCTCCCCACTCAGCCTTCTGGGCATACAGCGTCTCCGTCTGAGGCCCTCTCAGAGGCGCCCCTCTGGACGCAGCTGTTGTAGAGCTCAGGCCCCATGCTAAGAACTGGCCACCTCTCTCTCTAAAAGAAATCAATGAAAACATTTTTTTTAAAAAAGAATTCTTTCCTTTTAAATGTAGCGGCTGCTTCTTCCCAGGTGCAGGTTTGCGTGCACACCTGTTGTAGGTGCGTTTCCCGACGTCCCCTCCTTGCTAGGGGCCCGTACGCTCTCGCCTGGTGTGAAACCGTTGCAGCTTCGGGCACTGGGCACTCTGGTCATGTGCTGACGGGACTGAGGAAGCTGATTTAGGCGGGATGTGTGCCGCGGGGTCAGTCTCTCTCTTTCAGCCGCATGGCTCCCGGGTGGTTGGATATTGGGAGCTGTGAATGGTTTTAGGGGCTCGGAAACCTTTGCCATGTACGCTCTGTCCAGGCTGCACAAGTAAAGTACCTGCCAATGGAGCCGTTTGTTCTGCTTCTTGGCTGAAAACAAGCTGCTTTCAAGTCCACGTCTCCAAGGCCGAGTTAGGCTGAAAACGTACGGTTAGGAGAGAAGCTATAAAATATTACCATGCTCTCTGTACCTATTGCATTTTTCCGATAAGAAAGAAGAGATAAAACCCAGACATTCTCAGCAGTTTCTTGCCTACGGAAGCACTTTTGTGAAAGAGTCCCTTATCTGTGCGTCCCCGAGCGTCCCAGCCTGTGCCACTCACACGTTGGTTGGCCGGCCCCTGGCGTGAACTCATAGCCTGGGCCCCTGGCTGTGTAATCATTCCAAGAGCTGGGCTTGGCTCACACACCTGCCCAGGTTGGAAGAGCAGAAACGTGGGGCGATGATTTCTCTCTGACCCCTGGGGCAGAACCAGCTAACTTCCAGTAATTAATCACACTGTTTAGGGTAGTGGAGGGAGAGGGAAAAAAAGAAAAAAAAGAAAGGAAAAGAAAAGAAAAAGGCACAGGCCTGCTCTCAGGGAGTTCCAGTGGCCCCAACAGCGGGAGTAAGTGGCCTTCGTCTAGGGCAGGTGGGGCCCAGGAGGACAATCCCTTTTGGGGTCTTGCTCTGGGCAGCTGCAAACCTGGGTCCTGCTTCTGTGCCTGCACCGTTTTCCGGCCCCTGCCCTGCAGCTGTGACTTTCCTCCCTGCTCAGCGGCTTGTGTATGTCCAATGTCTGCCATGTGCCCTCCTACCCCGTCTTCTCCCTGCCCTTCCCCACCCTGTCTGTGTCCCCGCAGGCTCACCCGCAAGGACTGACTGCCTTCCAGGGCTGGCACCGGGCCGCTCAGGCTTCCGGGCAGCTCAGCCTGGGACCACCCTGGCTGGAGAGGAGGGGTTGGAATCTTGATCCCTGTGGGGTCACCCGTGGCCGTGGCCCAGGCAGGTGTGGGTTCTGGAAACCTCTCCCTTTAGGCCTGGGACTGACAAAGGCCCCCCAGGTGCACTGGCCCAGCTCACATCACCCTCTGGTTGACCTGTCCCCAGCGAATGATGAACAAGCAGACCTCAAGGTTACAATTGGGAGCTGCTACCTGTTCCCGCTGGGAGCTGGACTGATCACGTGGGCCTAGTGGACCGCGGTGCCCAGTTGGGTCCTCTGTCCCTGATCAGGTGGGTCTAGTGGACCGCGGTGCCCAGTTGGGTCCTCTGTCCCTGATCAGGTGGGCCTAGTGGACCGCGGTGCCCAGTTGGGTCTCTGTCCCTGATCACGTGGGCCTAGTGGACCGCGGTGCCCAGTTGGGTCTCTGTCCCTGATCACGTGGGCCTAGTGGACCGCGGTGCCCAGTTGGGTCTCTGTCCCTGATCACGTGGGCCTAGTGGACCGTGGTGCCCAGTTGGGTCTCTGTCCCTGATCACGTGGGCCTAGTGGACCGCGGTGCCCAGTTGGGTCTCTGTTCCTGCCTGCGGCCACCCCTGGAGATGTGCGGCCGCACACAGGGCTGGGCGGACCCTCCCCTTTGGGACAACCTGCATAGGTGGCTGGCCCTCTCCCGTCTGTTACCCAACATCCCGCAGAGAGAGACAACATGATGTCCAGTCCCTTCCTAGTTTCGCATGAGATTGAGCTCGAGTTTTGTAACAGGTGTGGAGGGCGCTGCAGATGAACCGACGTAGCATTGCAACCCTTTAGGTCACCTACGCAGCGATGGGGCGGCGGGCTTCTCCGGCCGCCGCGGTGGCTGCTGGGAGTGGGTGTAGAGCCGAAGCCACGGGGTTCCAGGGCGAGGGGGCCGCAGCCGCGTCTGGGTGGGGCTGACGTTGGCGCCCTGAGGCCCGGCGAGGCCAGGGACCGGGCGCACAGTCGCGGGGTCCGCAGGGCCGGGGCCGAGGGAGAGGCACCGCCAGCGGGCGCGGGGGGCGCGGGGGGCGCGGGGGGCGCGGGGGGCGCGGGGGGCGCGGGGGCGCGGGGGCGCGGGGGGCGCGGGGGGCGCGGGGGGCGCGGGGGGCGCGGGGGGCGCGGGGGGCGCGGGGCTGGCGGGGCGGGCGGAGCTACGGGGCCCACGGCGATTGGTGCTCAGCCCTCCACGTCAGCCAATGGGAAGCGAGGGCGTCCCGGGGGCGGGGCGGACGCCGCACCTTAAAGTCCGTGACGCGCCGCGCCGAGCGCTGCCGCCGAGACGTAGCCGCTGGTTCCGGAGCCGGAGGCGCCGCCAGGTATCCGCGCGGGCGGGGGGCCGGGGGCAGCGGGTCTGGGTCCCCGCGGCGGCGGGCGAGGCCGAGGGGCGCGGGCGGCTCCGGGCCGGGTCCTGGGAGCGGAGGGCGCGCTGGGCCTCCGCGGGCGGCAGGCTCCGCCTCTGCACCCGGCGCGGCGTCACGGGCCCGGCGGCCGCGGGCGAGGGGGAGGCGGGAGGCGGGGAGGCTGTGGATGTGGCACCTTCGCCTTCCAGGGCGGGCGGAGCCGGCGGCACCGAGCCCCGACGTGTCTGCGCGCCCGGGTTCCCGGAAAGGAGGCGTTGGGGCGCCGCGGGCACCTTGAGCTGCGGGCACCCAGGGCCCCGGGCACCCTGGGCGGCAGGCACCCTGGGCCGCGGGCACCCTGGGCTCCGGAGGTTGGCCTGGGGGTGCATCTGGACGCGGCGGGGAAGTGCTGGTGGCCGTGGCTTTCGTTGCGGGCGCCCTCCCTCCACCTTTGTGGGGATCAGACCCAGCGGGAGTGGAGGCGCCTGCAGGTGGGCTGGGTGGGCCGGTGCCCAAAGGGCTCCACCGAGGCCTCCTTTTCTGGCCCTTCCCCGCCGCGCCGGGCGACCTGCCCTCCCCCCCTTCCTCCGGCATCGCCGACCATCGTGGGGTTCCGTTTACCTGTTGGGTAAGTGTGATAAGTTAGGGGGTTAAGAAGGAGTGACTTTGGGGCGAAGTGGCTTTAGTTTGAGACACTCCTCCCCTCCAGGCTCTGCAGGCGCAGGGCGGGCTCCTTATCTTATCCGCTGGGAGTGACCGTTAGAAGGGAATGAAAGACTTCCTTCATCCGAACCCCCAGGCCCTGCCGAGAAGCCAGTGCCTGACCATGAACAAGATCCAAGTGTTTTTGGTGAAAAACAAGACTTCAATAAAAAAAGTTTCTTGTTTGGGGTTTACCGTTTTTCATGATGTTTGAGATGAATGATGCATCCTCTACCCTCCAAAACCCAGTGATCTTTAAGTAAAAATTCTTAATAAGGCATTTCCCCCGTACTTTGCCTTTTTTACAGCTACTTGTGTGCACAAACCCTTGACTGAGTTCGTGAGGATGGGCTGAATCTCATACATTACAAAAATATATATATTTTTTATTGATTTTTTTAGAGAGGTAGGCAGAGATAGAAACATCCATGAGAAACATCATCGTTCTGCTGCCTCCTGCACGCCCCCTACTGGGGATCCAGTGAGCAACCCGGGCATGTGCCTGGGCATTGAACCTGCGACCTCGCGGTTCCTGGGCCCACACTCTACCACTGAGCCACACAGGCTGGCTGGATCCCATCCACTCGGGATGGTGATGAAGGGCTGGGTTGGGGGGTGTGCGGAGGGAGTTGTCTGCCCGAGCCAGTCTTTTCCAATAGTTTCTGCTTCGGCTGCTGGCCAGTGACGCACTTGAGTTGAACGGCCGCCAGGTTATGTAAAAACCCAGCACTCCCACTGGCAGAGCTGGAGAAGGACTGTGTTTGTTGTGAATGGTCACCTCAAGAAAAGTAAATATTTGACAAGTGGAGTAAACCAAATTTATTCAAGTCGGATATTTTGAGGGGTTTTTTTTTTTTTGAATTTACACTGTTTTTTTCCTGAGTGAATTTTAAAAAATATTTCCTAGTGTATGCTACATTAACTTCAAAATGCAGCCTTTAATGGAAGTTCTATTTTAGGTATGTTCTAATGTGAATAGGATGGATTAGACAGGAGAGAGTAATTTAGTAGCTTGAAGAAGGTTTTGTTAATTATGTAGATTGCTGAAAACATTCGGTGTTAACATTTGCTGTCAAGAGCAATTTTTTTTCTCTTCTTCAGGACCTGAGCGTGGTTAAATGCAGGACAATAGCCTGGCATGTTCACACGTATACACATGAAGGTCCTTAAAGCTAATGGAGTGAATTTAAAAAAGAAATATATATATATATATTAATACAAATATTTTTTTAGAGAGAGGAAGGGAAAGGGGGAGAGGGAGACGGAGAAAGGCATGGATCAGCTGCCTCCTGCACGCTCCCAGGGATCCAGCCCGCAGCTCCAGCGCGTGCCCTGCCGGACCGAACTGGTGACCTTTCAGTGCATAGGATGACACCCAGCCAACTGAGCCACACCCGCCAGGGCTGAAGTGAACTCTTTAAATTTTATTTTTTTGTCTTTTTTTTTTTTTTAGTGAACTCTTGATGGAAAGAGTAGGATGCTAGTCTCCCCTTAGAGCTGCCCCAGCGTGCTCAGGGATGGCTTAGTCCCGTGGTCGGCAAACTGGGGCTCGTGAGCCACATGCGGTTCTTTGGCCCCTTGAGTGTGGCTCTTCCTCAGCCTTAGGAGTCCCCTAATGAAGTTAATAACAATGTACCTACCCGTATAGTTTAAGTTTAAAAAATTGGGCTCTCGAAAGAAATTTCAGTCGTCGCCCTGTTGATATTGGCTCTGTTGATAATGAGTTTGCCGACCACTGGCCTAGTCTCTTCAGGGCCGATCTCGCTTCCTGCTGCTGCCCGAACTCCTCGGGAGCCCCACGCCTGCGTGTGCTGGGACTGACAGTTATATTTTGTGTAACTGTTTGATACACCGTTTGACAGGCAATGCTCACGGAATGCCCAAACTAGGCTGCTTCTGGGGCTGCAGAGAGAATGTTCGGCAAGGTTATTGTCCTTTTAAGGAGCCTCGTAGGATTCATTGGGGGGGGGGGGGGGGGCAGGGCCTGTGACAGAAGTTTGTGCAAGGTGACCTGGGAGTCTCCAGGAGGGTTTAGGGGGTGAGTTCTGTGGAGAGGGTGAAAAAACTCATCTGGGTAGTATTTCTGCGTAGATAAAACTAATGGTTATCTCCAAAGAATGGAATTGCTGGTAATTGTGTTTCTAATTTTTTAATCAGTAGAGACATCGTACTCTTATTTAAAAAAAATCTCTAGTTTAAAAATAGAAGCCAAGGCACTGTTGATACTTATATTGTGGAGGTTGTGCTGGGTTTGGCACTTGATCGTTATCGCATTTAATCCTCAGCAATGACCTGAGGCTTCAGCCTCCTTCTACCCCTGAGGACAGGGAAGGCGCAGGCTCTCTACAGGGCTCCCTGGAAGAGGAGATTATTGATGCTGACTATTTTAAGTCCATCTCAATTCTGTTATAATGTTTTTTTAAAAAATATATTTTTATTGATTTTAGAGAGAGAGAGAACATTGGTGAGAGGGAAACTTTGATCCAGCTGCTTCCTGCACGCCCCCTACTGGGGATGCCGCCCACAGCTGGTTTCCGAGCCCTGACTGGGAAGGGATCTGATGACCTGTGGGTGCATGGCACGTGCTCAGCCACCTGAGCCACCGGCCGGAGCAGGCTAATGTAGGGGGGACCTTCTCCTCAGTCACGCTTACAATTCTGCATTTTATTTCAGGGATTATTGGACCCAGCAGACCGTCCCTGGATCCAGGCTGAACAATCTGCATTTCCATCTGAACCACAGGAAGAAAGGGTAGCTGGTGAGTGTGGCGGCTAATTCCTGACCTCGCTGGGTTACGGGGTGTGCCCAGTGAGAGGGGAGCGAGTCAGGGTCCACGCGTAAGTTTTGCTAATTTGGCCGCTCACTGAGGGCTGGACGGTCGTGTCCCCACATAAGCGCCTCTGAAAGGCTGCTCAGCCTGCGAGGCCGGCACCAACCCTTTCGTCTGCTGGTGCTTCCACGTGGCTGACCCGGCAGAGTGGGTTCTTGTCCCTGATGTCCTCTCAGCACCGACGACTTAAAGCGGGTGCGTGTTTATCACAGAACTGCCAGGCGGCTCAGAGGGCGTGATTGAGCAGTACCGGCCCCGCATTGCTTCTCTCACTCTTCGCACTCCAGCCCGTAGCACAGTGTGTCCATCCCACCCCTGGCGCTTGTCAGGTGTGACTCAGTATTTATATCCTGCTCCCTTGTTTACCTTCAGGCTTCCCGCCACTGAGTTTTAGAGAGAGTAGAAGGGAGGAAGTTGGTGGGGTGGGGGGAGTGGGGAGGGGGGAGAGAGAGAAACATTGATGTGAGAGAGACACATCGATCAGTTGCCCCCCGCACACTCCCTGACCAGCCGGGCATGGAACCTGCCACCCAGGTACGTGCCCTTGACTGGGAATCCCAACCTCGACCCTTTGGTGCTCAGGCCGGCGCTCTAACCATTGAGCCACGGCCAGGGCTCGCTCACTTCTTGGTTTCTCGGTAGACTGGCAGATGCTCAGTAACACTTGGTGAGTCAGCACACCCGACTCGGGGAGACTCTTACCTCGTGCCTTCTCTTCCTTCGGCAGGCCGGTGGGATCCTGCTCCACGGACACGATGCTTTCCAAGCTAGCTCGTCTGCAGACTGTGGCGGGGCTTTGCCGGGGCGCCCACACGCCAGTGGCTTCTGCTACATAAGTGGCGACTAAGAAGATGGTCCAAGGCCGTGTATCGTCTGATGACGATTTTGAACAGGAAGCCAAGTATGGCGCTCACAACTACCACCCCTTACCGGTCGCCCTGGAGAGAGGGAAAGGCACGTTTTGAATTCATCCAGAATCGCTCCTTTTTCGCTATGAAATCTTGTGTAGAAATTGCTCTTACATTTTCTCAGTGTGCATCTTCCCAGAGTCCTTTAACTTCTCGATTGCAGACGAGGTTAAAGGTTTATTGGGTGTCTCGGCGCTCGCTGGGCTAGGTGCTGTGGGACACAAAGATGAACTCGGTCGTCTTTGTGGGATGCTCTGGCCAGCAGAAGGGAAGGTACTAAGTAAAGCACTAGGACGGCTGCCGCTGTCCCTTTCCCTTGTTGCTGGGCATGATTTTACACTTAATGGAAGGAAAGTTGCCACAGTCGGAGGAAGAATTTTCTTCTGCCAAGCTTTCTGTCACTGCTGCCCTCCCCGCAGAGTACCTGGGAGTTCTGGTTTCTCTCCGTCCTTGCCAACACTGGTTCCCCTTTTTTAAAAATTATAACCATCTCACTGGTGTGAAATACTACTGTTCTGCTTGCTTAAAAAATATGTTTTTATTGATTGTTAGAGAGGGAGGGAGAGGGAGAGAGATAGAAACATCAGTGGTGAGAGAATCATCGACTGGCTGCCTCCTGCACGCCCCCTACTGGGGATTGAGCCCGCAACCCCAGCAGGTGCCGTGACTGGGAATCGAACCAGTGACCTCCTGGTTCATGGGCTGATGCTCAAGCCCTGAGCCCGCCGGCCGGCCCGCTGCTGTGGTTTGGTCCCGCTTCTCTAGCGATTTCGAAGTTGAGCATCTGTCATGAGCTCTTGGTCGCTTGCATGTGTGTGTGTCGTTGACTCTGGAGAAATGTCCAGGTTCCCTGCCCATGTTTTCATTGGGTTGTATGTCTTTTTGTTGAGTTATAAGCGTGCTGGGTACTAGCTCCTCGTAAGAGAAATGATTTGGAAATACTTTCCCCATCCTGTTGGTACAGTCAGCTAGTCAAGACTGTTTGTTATCTTCCGCCTTGAAATTCTCACTTTAAGCTGCAAGCTCCCGTTTTGTAGGAGTAAAGCGTTGAGTTTATGAAACGCCTTTATGTTACGCTGTTCTTGTTCAATGTCAACCTGAAGCTGGACAGATAAAATAGGATTTGTTATAAAGCAGCGTCTGTTACACTTGAACTAAACATGCCTTAGCCACAGTGCTGGCAGTTTTAATTTCCCGCCTCTGTGTGATTTTCTAAAATCTTTCGTGTTTTATATTCTGCGCTTTGTGATTTCTCTAAAGTGACGTCCCTGTCACCTCAGGCATCTACCTGTGGGATGTGGAAGGCAGGAAGTACTTTGATTTCCTGAGCGCGTACAGCGCCGTCAACCAAGGGCACTGCCACCCCAAGATCGTGGACGCCCTGAAGAGCCAGGCGGAGAAGCTGACGCTGACATCACGGGCCTCCTACAACAACGTGCTGGGCGAGTACGAGGAGTACGTCACGAAGCTCTTCAACTACCACAAGGTTCTCCCCATGAACACAGGTGAGGGCTCGTGTTCTGTGTTAGCCAAGAAGACAGTCGTATGTTCTGATCATCTAAACCAGTGGTTCTCAACCTTCTGGCCCTTTAAATACAGTTCCTCATGTTGTGACCCAACCATAACATTATTTTCGTTGCTACTTCATAACTGTCATGTTGCTACTGTTATGAATCATCATGTAAATATCTGATATGCAGGATGGTCTTAGGCGACCCCTGTGAAAGGGTCGTTCAACCTCCAAAGGGGTCGCGACCCACAGGTTGAGAACCGCTGGTCTAAAGCATTTACTAACGGGACGCTTTCTCTCGTAGGAGTGGAGGCCGGAGAGACCGCTTGCAAGCTCGCGCGGCGGTGGGGCTACACCGTGAAGGGCATCCCCAAGTACAAGGCCAAGATCGTGTTTGCAGGTGCGTGCCCTCCGCGTTCTGCGCTTCGCACACACACTGCTGTTTGCCATTGGACTCGCTGGTGAGAGGCTGAGATGTGTTCATACAGGACAGGATACAGTGTTTGTTGACTGTTTCATTAAAATGTTCTTTTCTTGGGTTTATTTCCAAATAGTTGTTCACATGTGATTTTTCTTTCCTGAGTAACTTCCTACTCCTCTCCCTTGGGTGAGGACTTATGATTGATTTCTCATCTGCGGGCTCGATCCCCTAGCAGCCAATCAATGATTCTCTCTCCTCATTGATGGTTCTCTCTCTCCCTCTCTCTTCCTCTTTGAAATCAATAAAAAATATAAAGTGACACATCACCATTTAAACAAAGTGGGAGACCCCCCAAGGCTCTCTCTCACTCTGCCTTGTTTTCTTCCTTCCTTGCATTTCCCCAGTGGAGGGAGCTCACGCACGCGCTGTATGTTGCGGTGTTTCTCGCCGCTAGAGCGTGAGTCACGGTCTCCATTCTGTCTCTCTAAACCCCCAGAGCAGCCACGCAGGCGGCCCCTCTCCCTTCCCCATGAGCTGCGTGAGGGCGGGATGTTCCTGTGCAGGGGCACGTGGCTGTTGCCGGGCACAGGTTCTACCAGGAAGTCACGGTGACAGTGCACCGCCTGGGGCGTGTGCCGTCCATCCTGCAGAACAGCCAGCCTGTGGCCTGGACGCCGAGAGGAAAACTGGGAACCTCGTGGAGGCTGTTCTCACACACCGTTCCCACAGACGTGCGGGGGCTGGGAAGTCGCCGAAGGCCTCCTTGGGGTGGGGTAGTTGAGGAGAGGAGGCCCGCGGGCTGCATTGCGCCGGGAGTCAGAGAAGTGCCCACAGGGCATTCGCAGGGACCCTGGTGTCCCGTGAGCCATGGGGTTCCATACCAGGTTTTGTAACAGGTGGAAGCTCTCAAAGCAAAGCCTTGGTTTTCAAAACTCCAACTTCCTAAGGCATTTTGGGGGGCTGCTCTTTAAATTGGGTGATTGACGTAATCACTGTTTCTCCTCTAGCTGGAAACTTTTGGGGCAGGGCTCTGTGTGCCATCTCCAGCTCCACGGACCCCAGCAGCGACGACGGCTTTGGCCCCTTCATGCCGGGGTTTGAGATCATTCCCTACAATGACCTGCCTGCTCTCGAGGTACCGGCCGGCGTCCGTGCTGTCTCGCACAGTAAATGGGTTTAGACTCGGGGAGTGTGTGAGTGACACATGGACACGTGACTAAGGAAACCGGTCTCATTACGCCAGGCCAGGACTCGGACTCTCTGTGATGGTCCGTAGTGTCCAGTGTGGGGACACCGAGGTCCGGGGTCTAACCGACAGCCAGCCACCCGCTTTAGGTGTGTCCTGTGTGAGCGCAGCCTGGAGAGTATCCGCTTAGTTACTAGGTAAAACCACCCAGTTTCCAGCCAGCGTTTTAAAATGACGAGTGGAGGACTTGTGAAATGAAAAGATGCACTGAAAATGGCTTTAAAAAGGCCATTTTCTCTAATTTTAGTTACATTTTACTATATATTAGAAAATGTAGGCTAGAATAGTTTAAAGCTGAAGTATTTGAGTTTTTGGTAATTGAATATCAGAAACGTTATAGTTTGAAGTCAGAATATAATTTAGTGCGAAAATGTAATTTGTATACTTCAGAGGTCCTCAAACTACGGCCTGCGGGCCACATGCAAATACAAATATTGTATTTGTTCCCGTTTTGTTTTTTTACTTCAAAATAAGATATGTGCAGTGTGCATAGGAATTTGTTCATAGTTTTTTTTTTAAACTATAGTCCGGCCCTCCAACGGTCTGAGGGACAGTGAACTGGCCCCCAGTTTAAAGAGTTTGAGGACCCCTGGCATACTTACTCTCTACAGGAAAGTGTATGTGTGCACTGTGTGATTTCCGATGTTGAAATGGGAGGAAAGGAAGTGGCTAACGTGTGCTTACATGTTGTTTGCAGCGCGCTCTTCAGGATCCAAACGTTGCTGCGTTCATGGTCGAACCCATTCAGGGCGAGGCGGGCGTCATTGTCCCCGACCCAGGCTACCTGATGGGTGTGCGCGAGCTCTGCACCAGGCACCAGGTGGGCGCCCCTGCCTCACCCCCTTTCCCACCTCCCCCTTTCTCACCTTACCTGCCTGCATCGCAGGGTTCAGCTGACGGGGGATACGTGCAGAGATTGCCTGACTTTCCCGCTAGTGGGAGACGTCCTTTCTGGAGCTTCAGAGCTCTGAGCGGCCTGCATGAGCCACTGGTACTGGCTGTGGGAACCGGCGGACCCTGGGCCGCGGAGCTGCAGCATCCCCCTCACCCCCCCGCCCTCCCCCTTCCAGCACTTGCCCCGCTTCCTCCCAACCTTTGTCCTCTGTGCCAGCATTCACATTCTCTCCGCCTCTCCCCCCAAACTAGTAAATATTTAATAGGAAGTCGATGTTTAATAAATGCTGGTGGAATAAACAAGTGAATTAATTGTTTCTAGAGATTAGTTCTATTCAGAAACCCCTGCAAAGGCCTTACCTGGCGTTAGTTCCTCTCCTGCCTGTGGGACCGAGCAGACCGGCCTCTGGGCTTGTGTCCTGACTGGGAATGGAACCGGCAACCTTTCCGCACACAGGACAGTGCCCAGCCCACTGAGCGACACTGGCCAGGGCTCATAGCACACTGTTGACATTGCATGGCTGATGACAGCATTTTCACAAAGCTCATCTGTGTGGGGAAAAGGGAAATGAAATTGATGATTAACGTCGGTGTGTGGTTTTCCGATAGGTGCTGTTTATTGCGGATGAGATCCAGACGGGACTGGCCAGGACTGGTCGATGGCTGGCGGTCGGCCATGAAAACGTCAGGCCTGACCTCGTCCTCCTGGGCAAGGCCCTTTCCGGTGGCCTGTACCCCGTAAGTGCTCCCTCGGCTCACGGATGCCATGACAGCAGCCGATGGTGACGACGGTGCTGTCTCCCTGTGGTCGGGTTCACGTGGAGCCGTCGGTCCCCTAGAATCCAGTCAGCTCCATGGGCGGCCCCCGGTTAATTTAACTGCAGAACCGGCGGCCTGGGCTTGGCTCCGGCGTCGGCTTTGGATGGACATTGTGCTGCAGAAGCGTTCCTGGCCCCGTGCTCCTCGTGGTCAGAAACAGCGTTACCGGTTGTTGAACGCCACGACCGCGTCATGTAGAGAGGAGAGAGGCCTGCTCCTGGGTGTCTGTCCCTCACAGCCCGCAGTCTCTGGGTGGGAGGGCGCGAAGGCGCACAGGGTAGTGGGAGCACTGCTTCCTAAGCAGTGAGAGAGCGCCCCCGCCCCCCAGAGTGGAAAGACTCTCACTCAGTCACTGCAGAAGCAGCTGGCGTCTTGGTCCCAGTGCTGCTGTGTTGTGCTGTGGACGTGTGCCAGGTGCAGGTTGACGTGTGCCAGGTGCTGGGTGGCGCCGAGGGCGTGCGGGCTTGTCCCACAGTGAAGGTGGTGGACGGGCAGTCAGTCCTGTTGCTGAAGCTCACATCCGCTTCCCTGTGGGCTCGGGAATGCCTGTTCCCGGCGTGCAGGCCCCCGAGTGTGCGTGGGGAGCGGTTGGGCAGCACTGGTTCTCTCTCCCAGGTGTCGGCGGTGCTGTGTGACGACGAGATCATGCTGACCATCAAGCCCGGGGAGCACGGCTCCACGTACGGGGGCAACCCCCTGGGCAGCCGCGTGGCCATCGCCGCCCTCGAGGTAAAGCCTGACGCAGCGCACGCCCAGCCCTTGGGTCGGGTCACGGTGACTGTGAGCTGTTGGTGTCATGAGAAATGTAGGAAGTCGACGCGTGTCACAGCCCGGGAGCGGGGAGCTTTCGGGGCCAGGCTCAGAGACGGCCTCCCGTGGGCATCGCCGCCCGCAGTGCCCGGGCGGTGTCCTGTGGGCACTGGGGGCCCTCCCAGAACCCGTCAGGCCTCTGGCTTCGTGCGCCTCGTGCTTTTAAGTGTGTATTTGAACACTCAGATTTATTACATAAAATTATATAATCCCTAAGGTGGACTTTTTAGAGAAAAAAAGTGAAACTCTATTGCAGTTAAAAAACTAAACTGTGTTTAGTCCATTGGTTTATTCAACGAATAAGAAAGTACGTTAGTTGTATTCAGCACATCTTAACCCGCATTTTGCCATAATATCAGGTCGGTGATGGGTGTGTGACGAAGGCCGGGGTCTGTCTGCCGCACATGTTCAGTTAGGAGGCGGCTGGGCTGGGCCGGGGACTGTCAGCCTTTACCGCCTCCTGCGTGTGCCCCGTGCCCTCCGCGGAGCGGCTGACGCCACGGGGGGGATTTCCCCGCAGGTTCTGGAAGAAGAGAACCTCGTGGAGAACGCGGACCGCATGGGCGCCTTCCTGCGGAATGAGCTCATGAAGCTGCCCTCGGACATCGTGACCGCCGTGCGCGGGAAGGGGCTGCTCAACGCCATCGTCATCCGGGAAACCAAAGGTGGGGCGTGCAGGGCGGCACTGGCTCGGGCGGGCGCTCTTCCCTTTTAGTTTTCACGAATCCTCACCCAGGGTATTAGAGTGGGAGGGAGGCGGGAGGAGGCGGGAAAGGGAGGGAGAGACATCTGTGAGAGACGTCTCCTGGCTGCAACCCAGGGACGTGCCCTTGACCAGGTCAGACCCAGGACCCTTCGGTGCGAGGGCCAACGCTCTAGCCTCTGAGCACGCGGCCGGGCGGAAGGCACTGTCTTCACAGGAAGAGCCAACACGGCATTTTATCTGGCGTCTGGGTTCCTCTGAGACGGCTGCCCGGCCGCCTGGTGCCCGGCTCTTTAGGCTGAGGGTCACCTGATTCATGCACAGGTCTTTCCTGCGCGAAGGCACATTGACGTCACCTGTCCTGCTTTTGTGCTTTAAGACACTGGTTATTCTGCCCTCGGCCAGTGGGGCGGTGCTGGGAGACTGGCGCTCTTTTCTGTTAGGTCTTCGTAGCACACTTTCCCTAAGTTGCCTCTTGCCGTCCTTTCCTGTCCGCTGTGACCTCCCCGCAGAGGCTGCCCGGACGGGCGGTGGGTGACATGAGTGAGGAGGAGGATGAAGCAGCTGGCTGCCCCTGACTGCTGTTTGTCTGATAAAGCCTGTGGCCCCGGAGCTCCTGGCTGGGTTTCCTTGTGATAACGCTTTCGGTGCTCTCAGCCTTGCCTGCCTTTCAGAACCACCTGGGGCTTTATAAACGTCAGTCCGAGCCGCGCCCCCGCCCGCAGGCTGAGGTGATGGGTCTGGGTCCCAGGCCTGAGCGAGGGGGGTTGATGCCAGGCTCTCGGATGATGAGCCTCGCCCACAAGCCTTTAGGGCGTGGTGGTCGCTGGGTTTGGGGCTTTGCTCACCCTGTGCCCGTTACAGTCGGTGTCTCACCTCGTTCTTTCTGTGCTGGTTTCTCGTGTAATTAGTACAGCCGTCCCCGCACAGGGTTTTTTTTTCTTTTTCTTCATGAAAAACCAACAAGAACCATATGTCTGGTTCGGCCACTCAAGCCTAGTTCTGCGCTGGCCGACAGGTAGCTCTTTTAAGAGCAGGACCGAGCGTGCAGCCGCGCCGTCTTGCTGGAGGGGACGGGAGCCGTTTGCGGCCGCACTTGCCCAGGCACCTGCAGCGAGGGCTGAAGCCTTTCCCACTGACCAGACGCTGTGGGCCTTTCTCCTTAGATTACGATGCTTGGAAGGTGTGCCTGCGCCTTCGAGATAATGGACTTCTGGCCAAGCCCACCCACGGCGACATCATCAGGTCCCGCCTCCGCTGGTCATCAAGGAGGACGAGGTCCAGGAGGCCGTGGAGATCATCAACAAGACCATCCTGTCTTTCTGAGGGGCCTGCTTCCCTGGGGGCGGGGCCTGCTTCCCTGGGGGCGGAGCCAGCTGGGCTGGCAGCTCGGCCGCATCCTCATAACAGCCCCTGTGTTGCTGCTCTCAGCGCGGGCACATTCCACTCCCCTGTGTCTTCAATGACCTTTTTAAATATGTTCTTTTCAGTTCATACGTGCTAGAGCGGCATTTATAATCACGCAGGTGGCTGTGTAAGAGAACGTGAGGGAGTCTGTTTGATCACCTGTGTGTGCTGAGGCGAAATGCTCTCTCTGTATGTAGGCAGCCTTTTTGGCAAGTCCCGTGTGGTTTTTACAGGTTTTTATCATTTCCTCGCTGGTGTAAATATATTGTATTTCAAAACGTTATATGGAGTTTTACATAGAAGACTGCTTTAACCTTATCAAGTTGAATCATAATCACTGAATTTTAGGAAGGATGAAATGGTTAAGCTTATATAAAGTACTAGGTTTAAAGAAACTTTACATTAGCCAACACCAAGACATGTCATTATTTTGAATTGAGAACTAATGTTCAACATTCCCAAATTACATTTTCAATGTTGGTATAATTAGTAAAAAAAAAAAAATACTCATTTTCAGTTTTTCTTTAAATTTAAAATAAAGCTGATATTTAAAGTGTCCGTTTTGTGGGCAGCGTGCAGCGTACGGTGTGTGGCCACCTGCACTCGGGTCCTTTGGGAATGTGCTCTGCTTGCTGTAACTTCCTGTCGCTAAGCAGTTCTGTTTCTGTGGTCTCTGCAAGAACAGACACTGAAAAGCGTCTCTCGTGACCCCCGCCCCTCGCGGCCATCGCCTTTTCTGTGGGTGCGCCCACGGGGGTGCTATGACTGCGTATGGGGGCACATTGGGACCAGGCCCAGCTTTTCACTCTTGAATAAAGCTGTGGCCGCTGTTCTCTGCGTCTGTGCCGCGGTTGGGTGCGTCTGTGGACAGGGTCCTCGAGGTGGGCTGCTGTGTCAGGGGGACTTGCTCCCTGCCACCCTTGGGTCCTGAGTCACCTCGGCAGCACGGAGCTCCTGGCTAAATGTGTGAGCCGGTGGTGGCAGGAGGGTCTGGGTGAGGGTTTCTGGTTGGATGTCTGCCGGGGCTAGACATTTTATAAGACACATGACACGGAATGTCAGGTACCATTTCACAGATGAGGAAACCGAGGCTCAGAGAGAAAGAAACTTGCCTTAGGTCATTGAAACGGTAAGTAGTGAGCCGGTTTGGCATGGCTCAGTGGTTGAGCATCATCCCATGAACCAGGAGGTTAGGGTTTTATTCCCAGTCAGGGCATATGCCCGGATTGTGGGCTGGATCCCCAGTAAGAGGCGTGCAGGAGGCAGCTGGTCCGGTGAACTAGAAAGTGGTGGGGCCCTGGGCCACAGTGAGCTGGACAAGGCTTGCCGGGCGGGGGGAGAGGGAGGCCGGAGGCAGCCCAGGGGTGGGGCTGGGGGGCTGCTCCTTTGTCTTGAACTTGGCTGAGAAGCTCGGGTGTGTAAAGCTTTACAGTTCTGTTCTAACTTGGGGCTGGATTCTTGACGACACCACCAGGAGCCATTCACATGAAGGATGTGACACGCGGAGGAGCCGCTTAGTCGGTTCAGGGGCACTTTACAATGTATTTCAGTGCTTGGCCGTCTGAGGCAGGTGCAATGGCTCGGGAGTTGTACTAGCTCCCAGCCTTCCTTTGATTAACTTGCAAATAAGATTTCTCCCCCGCAACCCCCTGTGCCTGGTCCAGTCCCTCAAATCGTTCACGAAACAGCTGGGCTTTATGATTTGCATCACGATACTGGGCGCAGAGCAGAGGTGGGGGCAAGGCCGAGCTGGGCAAAGCCGCCTGCTCGGTGGGACCCCAGCTCCGGCTCCCGCGTAAATGCAGTGGAGGCCCTGGTGGCTCCTGGTCTTGGCCTTTCCCAAGGCGGGTGGGGAAGACCTTCCTCCCTGAGATGGAAAGGGAGCCCCCAATCTCTTCTACCTCCTTAAAAAATTATTTTAAAATACTGGAATTATTGATTCAATATTTAAATTATTAATTTCAGAGAGGAAGGGAGAGGGAGACAGAAACCTCAATGATGAGAGAGAATCACTGATCAGCTGCCTCCTGCACCCCCCCACCCCCCTTCCTGCATGGAGCCCACAACCCGGGCCTGTGTCCTGACTGGGAATGGAACCCTGACCTCCTGGTTCATAGGTCGATGCCCAACCCCTGAGCCACGCCGGCCACTATCTCTTAAAGAGTGGCCCCCAGCGGCTGATTTGGTCTCTGGAGGGGGGGGGGGGGTCTCTGTCTGACTCCGGTGAGCCTGGCCCCAGGCAGGGAGCACGGAGCTCCGGGGGCTCAGCATCCTGGGAGCCCTTACAGGAGCGGCCCAGGGCCCCGAGGAGGCTTCCCAGAGAGACAGCGGGAAAGCCGCCATCGGTGCCGGAGGTTCCCCTTCCCCACTCGGGCTTTCAGATCCTCTTGTGACTCAGTTTCCCCTAAAATCCGCTCCTCACAACTGGGAGGCCCCATTTCTGTGGAGGGGCTCTGGGTGAATGGCAGGGCTGTGGCCAGTTGTCCCTCACCCCTAAGATCCAGCACCCGGGGTAACCCAGCCAACCCTGGGCCAGAACCCCTGGCAGGCGCAGAGCCCAGCACTTTGGGACGGCAGGGGGCGCTGTCCGCAAAGCTTTGCTCCGGGACCCAGCGCGGCAGCGCCTGCGCCAGGGCTGTCGGTGCAGGAGGTGCAGGAGGTGCAGGGTCCCGGCGGCCCGCCCAGCCTGGCACTGCCCCGGGAATGTGTTTTGTACAAGGTGCTGCTGCTGATGATAATAAACAACTCATAAATGTGCTCCTTGCAGGAAACTGGGAAATGTCAAAGCAAACGCCCACGGCCGCTCCCGCAGCCCTGCACCCGCCTGCAGCCCACAGTCGGTGCTGGCAGACCCAGGCCCCGCAGGGCAGACAGAGCGCTCTGTCTCCAGGTGGGAGCTGAGGTTGGCCCGCAGAGCCCACTGCCCAGACAGCCCAGTCTGTGGGGTGGAGGCAACAGCAGTGACCGGAGGCCTCCAGCCCGAGTGGTCGCTGGGGTGGTAAGCAGGCCCCCAGCCCGTTCCGGGGGGGGGGGGGGGAGGTGGTGTCCCCCTGGCCCGTGCCCTGCCTGTGCCCCAGCCCCAGCCCACCCGGGGGTCGCCCTCTCTGGAGAGCACCAGCTGGCTGGCCCTTTGGCACAGCCTGGGCTCTGGCGGTGGGAAGGGCCTTGGCCGGCCGGGTCTGGCGGAGCAGCCCTGGAGCCTTCTTTAGCTCCTCTGTCTCAGGCTGGGGAGCACTGGGTCCTTGGGGAGCACTGGGGTGTGGGCAGCGCTGGGCTGCAGGAGCGAGGCCCATTGGTCAGCAGGCTCCCTCCGGCCCGGCTGGCTGGCTGCCCTCCCACCTCCAGAGCAGGCGGTTTGGTGGGCACACCCCCTGCGGGCAGCCAGCCCGGACCCTCTGCGGCCTGGCCCCGCCCTTTTCCAGCCACTTTTCCCAGGAAAACGCAGGCCCACACCCTCCTGGGCTCTGATGGCGGCTTTGAAGGTGGGCGCTGGGGCCGAGTCAGAACTGCCCGCGAGTAAACAGCTGAGGACCCAGCTCTGCCGGGCGGGCGGGCGGGAGGCTGACGCTACAAAGGGACACTGTGAGGCCCCAGCAGAAGGGACCATTCAGCTCTCCCGGGCGGGACTCGCCTGCTAATTAGGTGGGGAGGACCCTAGTGGGTGGGCTGCTGGGGGGTCGGGTTGGCCAGGGGCGCTGTGCCCCGTGGGGAGGAGCCGCTGGTCCGACCAGCTAGACCCAGGGCCCAAGGCCAGCCCCGCCGACCCGCTAGCTGCTCCAGACCGTGAGGGAGCCGGTGAGGACGGCCTGTCCCTCCTGGGTGCCCCCTGAGTGGACAGAGCCTGGCACTGGGTGGGGCTTTGCCTCTGCCAGACCCTGCCTGTGTCTCCAGCTGGCTGCCCCTCTGCATCCTGCTGCCCGGGATTGGGGTGCAGGCACTGAGAAGGGGACCCCTCAGCTCTGGGGTGGCTGGGGGCCCAGGGGCGGGGCACACCCCACAAGCAGGCTGTGCCTTTCCTCAGGGCACTGGGCCCCGTGGTGAGAAAGGGCGTGAAAAGGCGGATCTGTCATTTCCCCTCACCGCTGTCATTGTCCCCATTCGCAGGTGAGAGAAACGGAGGCTCCTAGAGGGTACCTGGCTCAGCGGAGGCCACACTCCCCACCCGCGGGGTGGTCGGCCCTGGGCACGCGATGCTGTGGGAACCTCCCAGGGGTTCGATGGCGCGTCCCTGTTCCAGCCCTGGGCCAGTGTCCCCGCACAGAGGGGGCCCCTTTCCCGGAAGTGCCGGGCCCACCCAGGGCCTGTCCATCAGCACCTCTGGGGGACTGTCCCTGGCCAGTGATGGGCCGACCACTGGCCCCGGTGCAGCCCAGCCCCCCTGTCCCCCCCCTCGCTGCACTGCCCATTGCGGGTCCCTCAGGGAGGCTCCCCTCCCCTGCACAGGGACTCCTGGGGAATCACCGCGGAGGAAGGGAGCCCATTGTCTCTCTCAGGGGCCGGAAGCGTGTGCGGCGACAGCGGAGAGCGAGAGGCCCGCTTAGCGAGGGGAGGGTCCCCGAGCAAGTCCGTTTGGAGGGAAAGCGGGCCGTGTGTCCCTGGAGGCCGGCAGGCTTCTCCCGCTCCGGCTGTGGACAGAGAAGCTGGCTGGGGTGAGGCGGCTGAGCCAGGAAGGCCCCGGGTGTCCGGGTGTCCGAGGGGCCGGGGCGGTGGAGTCAGACGAGAGGCCATGGAGAGGAAGGTGACGGCCTCACCGTCGGAGCCCTTACCCTGGAAACCAGGCTGCACTTCAGAGCGGGGAGACTGAAGAGCAGCAGGGCCGCGACCTTGAGCTGTGCGCCCCTCATCAGGCCTGCGGGGTCTCAGAGACCCCTGGGCTGGCTGGGGGTGAGCTGCGGGCACCGGGTTGCAGGCTCGATTCCGGCCATGGTCGGGGCTCATGTGGGAGGCAACCTGTCCATGTCCCTCTCACATCGATGTCTCTCTCTCTCCCCCTCCCTTCCACTTTCTCTAAAAATCAATAAAATATATCCTCAGGTGGGGATTAACAAAAAAAGATAATAATAAAAATAGTGAACAGATATGTTTTACTGATTTCAGAGAGAAGAAAGGAGAGGGAGAGAGGGATAGACACATCAATGATGAGAGAGAATCATGGATCAGCTGCGGCTCCCTCATTTCCTCAGCACCCCGGCCCCTCCTGCCCGCATCTTGGACCATCCACAGGCCCCTGCAAGGAAAGGTGAGGGTCCATTTCAGAAACTGACCAGCACGGCCAATTCCCGCAGAGTGTGTAGCACCCCGCGCCCCGCACTCGCCAGCCTGGGGCCTGGGCTGTGCGGGACCTGACCCAGTTCCTGTGACCCGGGGGGAGGTTGAGGGTGAGAAGCAGCCCAGGGCGTGGGGCGGCCTCCT